AAGGAAGACTGAGAATGAGGGAAAAAAGCGGGAGAGGGGTCGGGAGGAGGAAGCGGAGGACCAGAGACGGGAGGAGAGGGGGAGGAGGAAGGAGAGCGAGAGGGGAGACCAAGGGTCCGAAGACCCGAGACAGGAGGAGGAGGCGGCTGCTGCTGCTGCTGCTGCTGCCGCTGCCGCTCCTGCTCCTCCAGCCGCTGCAACTCTCGCTCCTCTCGCTCCAACTCCAGCTGCTCCTCACGAGCACGGCGAACACAAACCTGGAACCTGGTCGGGTAGGGGTGGGGGGTAGTAGTAGTGTCCGGGGCAGCGGTAGCCCCAGAGTCCACCTCCGAAGCACCAGGCGCACCACCCCCAGAGTCAGCACCAACACCAGCTCCAGACCCAGACGCACCAGAAACCGAAGGGGGGTCACCCTCACCCCCAGACGCAGCACCCCCAGACTCCGCACGACCAGCACCAGCTCCCGGAAGACGAGAGTCCTCTGCAACCCGCGGCTCAGCTCCAACTCCAGCACCCCCAGAACCAGAAACCGGTACACGAACTATCTCCGTACCAACCTCTCTACAGCGAGCACCTGCAGGACGCGTCGAGGAAGACTGTGGGGAGGGAGGCTGTACCGGAGGGGCTACCGAAGGGGGAGGGGTAGCCTGGGACACACCGGACGGGGCTGGACCAGGGGGGGGAGGCTGTACCGGGGGAGCAGGAGGGGGAGCGGCGGTCAGGAAGAGAGGGGGGGGAGGGACCGGGAGACCTCGACTGGGGTACCTGACGTAGTAGGGGGTGGACTCCTCGAAACGGACGTCACGGGAGTCAAAGAACCGGTGAGAGGGAGGGTGGTAAAAGGTGAAGTCAGAGGAGTCCTCAGGGAAACCAAGGAAGACACAAGGAACGGCGCGAGGCGAGAGCTTGTCCGCGGAGGTGTCGCGGACAAGAGCCAAGCACCCCCAGACACGAAACCTGAACGCAACACCAGGGGACCCGGTCCAAAGACTGGTCGGTGAAGCCTCTGGCCGAGAGACGCGTGGCCAGAGGTTCAGCTGGTGCGCGGCGTACCTGACCGCGTAGGGCCACAGAAAATGGGGGGCACGGGCGTGAGTCAGGGAGGTGCGGGCGATCTCCATGACCAAGCCTATGCGGCGCTCAGCAACCCCATTCTGTTGTGGGGACTCTGGAAGCGTCCAGGACTGACGAATGCCCTGCTCGCGACAGAATCCAGCAAGAATGCCGGAGCGAAACTCACCCCCGCGGTCGGAGTGAAGACAGCTGACACGACGACCACGAGTGTCCTGCGTGGTAAGCAACCACCTGATCAGCGTAGAAGTCACCTCGGACTTCTTCGCCAGGGGAAATACTGTGGTGTAGCGGGAGTAGTCGTCAACGACCACCAGAAAGAAACGCTCACGCTCAGGGCCCTGACGAGAGGCAGGGCACCAGACGTCCAAGTGGAGCGTCTAAAAAGGCTCGGTGGCCGGACGAAGGGAGGAGGAGTGAGGGGTGGCGCGCAGCCGACCCTCGACGCAGGGACCGCACGGCGGCGCAAGCGAAGGCGGCAGCGACGGCAAGACACGCGGGAGGCCTAAGACAAGACGCTGACGAGACATAGTGCGCAGACGAGGAAGGGACGGGTGCCCCATCCGGTGGTGCCACAGGACGGTGGGGTGGGCAAGGGACCGGCAGGAGCAAGACGCAGCGACTGGACCAGACGCAGGAACCTGACCAGACACAGCTACCTGGGGGGAAGGAGCAACCTGGTGAGACGCGGGGACTCGAGCGGAGGGCGGAACAGGGGCCGGGGGCAGTAGGAGCGGCTGCTGCTGCGGCTGCTGCTGCGCCAGCGGGCCAGTGTGAAGAGTGTAGAGACCGGAGCCCGGCTCAGCTGTAAAGGTGGCAAGGGGCCGGTAAGAGCCCTCGTCAACACACACCGCTGTCTCACCCGAAAACCACACACCCACGTGCTGGCTCACAAGGGGTCGTACGCCCACCAAGTTCCTCGAGAACGAGGGGACGTGAAACCCAGTGAGAGACCCGGAGGGAGCAGCAGGACACGGCAAGGTAGTAGTGTGACGCGCTGTGACCGGTCCCGAGGTGGGATCAGCCAACGCCACGGAGACAGGTGCAGGAAGTGGTGTAAGTGTCGTGCTGTCACGAAAGAAGCAGTGCGAGGCTCCAGAGTCCAGCGTGAACGACAGCGAAGTGTCCTCCGAGGTAGGCGCTGGACTAGAGTCTACACAAGAACCTACACTAGCAACAGGCAACTGAGCAAGGCTAGCACCTAAGCTAACAACACCAGAGTAAACAGAGTCAGAAACACTAGAGTCAACAACAACATACATAGCATGAGGAGTTCCAATCAGATCTGCTAACTGCTCAGCAGACATGCCCCACAGAGCGGAGCCGTAACGCTGAACAAGAGGAAGCCAGTCAGGGGCAGGACCGCCAACCCCCAAACGAACCGTGTCAGTGAGCTGAGCAAAACACTGACCAGGGGGGTGAAAGCGACCACAAGGGTGGCCTCGGCGAGAACCTGCCAGAACCTGATAGGTGCAGGGAGGGTAAGCAGCACCGCGCTGGGGCTGACGCAGCCCCGACCCCGGAGCCAGCTGCGGCCGCTGCTGCTGCTGAGGCTGCTGGGAGGAGAGGGGCTGCTGCTGCTGCTGAAGCTGCTGCTGACGCTGGGCCTGGTACCACGCCGCTGCTCCACCCACCAGAGCCAGCAGTACGGGAGGCGACTGACGAACTCGGGCGTCGCCACCACCAGCAGGCGCAGTAGAGTCACCTGTCGCTGCACGAGACGTCTCTCCAGGTCCTGCACTCCCACCACCGCCAGTCGCAACGCCACCTCCACCACCTCCGCCTCCACCACCACCACCACCAGAACCGCCCTTCTTGCCACCCCTACCGCGGGACCGCGACGCAGTCGTAACAGCAGCTGCAGCCGCGTTAGTAGCGGCAGTGGTGAGAGAGGCAGTAAAGGTGGGTAACTGCGGGACTGTGCACCCGTGGAAGAGTGGGGGGGGCACAGCACCAGAGGCAGCGGCTACCGAGCGAAGGTTGCTCTCGACGTCCTTGAGCGCAGACTCAAGGACCTCGACGGTGAGCTCACTAGGGTGCTTCAGCAGAAGCACGTCACGAACGGAGGCAAGGCGGTCAGGGAGGCTAGTGGCGATGAAATAGATAGTAATCGCTTTAGGGGGAGGAAGCAGTGCAAGCTGTGCCTCAGTGCAAGCAGCGCGGTAACTAGTGTCGAGCGAGTGGAGGTGAGCGATCAAATCAGTAGAGTGCTCAAAAGACGTTAGGTCAGGAAACAGGAACGGGAGGAAAAGGCGGCCAAGAGAGACAGTAGTGGGAGTAGAGTACCGGGCCTTAATCGCAGTGAGGTACTCAGCAGCGGTGCGAACCTGAGTGAAGTGAACCTCCTCAGACTCAGGGAGGAGGCTGCTGAGCGCGATGCAGGCCGCAGCGTCACGCGACGTCCAAGCCGTCTGGTCAGCTCGCTGGGTGGCAAAGTGAGCTCTAGCGGCGTCGTCAGGGGCAGGTCCTAAAGGCGTAGGGTCGGGGGGCGCAGGGAGGGCACCAGTAGCGTGCGCCCAGAGGGTCTCGCCTGCCTGGACCTGACTCTCTAACAGACGGCGAGCGCGAAGAAGCCAGACAGAAAAATCAAGAGGTCTACCGTCAGCGTCGAAACGAAGTACACGCTGAGTCGCCATAGCGGAAACGAACGCAACAGTGTCGGTAGGAGACAGCAGTAGGCGAGTGGGAGACTAGGGTTAAGCAGTACCCTTGGACAACGGAAGCGAACGACGGACAAAGCAGCGGGCAACGAGAGCGGACGCAGCGGTGGAAAACGGAAGTGGGGCGCAGCGGGGACGCGTGTGGGGGCGGCCTGGGCGCCGGGCTAGAGCGCGGGCCCGGGCGACGGGCTAGGGCGCGGGCCTGGGCGACGGGCTGGGGAGCAGGCCTGGGCGACGGGCTAGGGCGCGGGCAGGGGCGACGGGCTGGGGCGCGGGCCTGGGCGACGGGCTAGGGCGCGGGCCTGGGCGACGGGCTGGGGAGCAGGCCTGGGCGACGGGCTAGGGCGCGGGCCTGGGCGACGGGCTGGGGCGCGGGCCTGGGCGACGGGCTAGGGCGCGGGCCAGGGCGACGGGCTGGGGCGCGGGCCTGGGCGACGGGCTAGGGCGCGGGCCTGGGCGACGGGCTAGGGCGCGGGTCTGGGCAGCGACGCGACGCGACGGGGGAAAGCGAAGCGACGGGGGGAGGGGGGGGGACGGGCGCGACGCGATGGGGGGAACGCGACGCGATGGGAGGAGGGGGACGGGCGCGACACAACGGGGAGAAACGCGACGTGACGGGAGGAGGGGGGGGGGGGGGGGGGGGGGGGGGGGATGGGCGCTACTCGACGGGGGGAAGGGGACGGGCGCGACGTGGCGGGGGAAAGCACCGCGACGAAGGGGAGCTGGGGAAAGCTAACACTATCGCGGAAGGGCTGGCGCTAGGCTCGGTAGCTACAGGAACGGGACGTACGAGAGCGAAGATCAGGCTCGGGAGGAACGAACGATGAACGGAGGAATGGGATCCCACAGGATTCTAACCTAAGTGATACCATGTCAGAATGAGGAATGAATGATGCATTGATGTTGGTTGAGGTACATATAGCTAACCCTAAGTTTTGTACCCCCTAAGACAATCCTCACTATAGGCTACAACATTTGACAGCGGATACCCTAAGTGATTTGCATGTGGGTTATACCAGGTTGCGGGCGGGTGCTATCCATACATGGGTACGTGCGTGGTGCTACTATGCGATTAGTGACTACAATCATACGGTAATAGCGATGCTGCTCATGGCAGGAAGGAAGACATCCTCTGGTAGCTGGTGACGAGGCAATATGCATGCAATGGCATTCAGTCAGAAACAGGATGCTCATGTGGAGGGGACACTCGTCTTGAGCAGCTAAGGTAAGAGTACAGGGTGACTTCAAATAAATCGAAAAAAGGCTGTGTCACTTGGTGTAGAGCACGTCCTCCCACGGGTGGCGGTACAGTGGCTGCTTGAGCCGCTTCTGGTCAAACGTGTGCCTGGGAAGAGAAGTGCATGGGAGGGCGGTGCATTGGGTGCATGAGAGGGAGGTGCATGAGAGGGAGGTGCATGGGAGGGAGGCCATGGAGCAGACAACATGGTAAGTGATGCGTGAATGAAGAGGCATGGTAAAACAGAGTTGGGCATGAAATGAGTGGCAGCAGAAATACTTCTGAGGGTTATGAAGGCACAACATCCCGATGGTCAAAGTATGTGATGAGAGAACCACTGCCATTCAACAATCCCACCAAAAAGCCTGACGCTTCTTGAGAGCACAAAAACCCCATCAAGGAATCCAAACTGCCGTAGTATCACCAACCTTCTGACACCCTCAAAACACCACAACGCGAAATCAACACCTTACTCGATGAGGCCGATGCTCCTGGAAAGCACAAAGAACCCGTTAAGGTACCCACCCCACCGCATGGCACTGCCATCAGCCAACATCCCCCCAAATCATGTCTCACCCAATAAGCCCGATGCTCCTGAACTGGAGAGCACGAACAGTCCATTAAGGTACCCCACAGCCACAATATTATCGATCTCCTCTTTGGTGAACATCGCGCAGGACGTGAGGAGGTCCAGGAAGAGCGCATCCATTGCCATGCCATGCCACTCAACCGCCCCAACAATCGAGACCGTGGCTCACTCACCCGATGAGCCCGATGCTCCTGGAGAGAACAAACAGTCCATTGAGGTACCCCACGGCTACGATATCATCAATCTCCTCCTTGGTGAACATGGCGCAGGACGTGAGCAAGTCCAGGAAGAGCGCCCCGATGCAGCCATCGACGTTGAGCACCAGGTTGGCCGCCTTGGTGAGCGTGTATGTCTCCACAGCTACTGCATAGTCCATGTGCTTCACCGAGGGGAAGGAGGAGCGCGCGTAAGCTTGCAGCAGCTCCACTCGCTTGTCCCGGTTGTCACGGCTCTTGATGCTGACGTGGGGGGAGGGAGGGGGGATGGGCCAGGACAAATCAGCTAGAGAAATGTCTTTAGCTTGGATCAAGAGTTGAGTGAGAGTGGCGTTGGCGAGAGTGTATGTTTCCACAGCCACTGCATAGTCCATTGCAGAAATGGGAGGGAGTTGGGTGGGATGTGGAAAGACCAAGTGTGTGGGAATGGGATGGGTCGGGAAGTAGTGAAGCATCGGAGTCAGTTGGAGCACAAGCAGTTGGTCACTGTGAATGATAGGGGCTGATAGTCGGCTGATAGCAGCCGGTCACTGTGAATGACAGGGGCCTCCATGTCGCATGACATGACAGGCCACCACGCTTCAGTACAAAAAGAAGGCCCAAAACAACACGCCGAGCCACATCAGCACAGCACCAAAGTTGGCTGTAAGGCATGTCATGCCCCCGTGCCATGCCACATCACGTACCGATGGCCAATGCCGGGAACACGGATGCCCTTCCTCTTCATTCCCTCCACGAAGTCATATGGACTCAAACCCTGCACACACATGCCATGCCATCATGGATTGTGCAGCATGCCATGTTGTACAGATGGATGGTAGACAGAATTAGGGGCGGAGATGAGCACAAGCCCCCATTCAGCGCTACAAGAGATGCCAGGTGGTGACTTCTCAAGTAACTCAAAAGGAAGCGCAACATGGACAGGATTGAGAAGCGCTCCCTTGGTGGATAACAGATGTAAGAAAGTGTCAATTTGACGCGATGGCAGGCACAGCACAGCACATGGGTGCTCACCCGCTCAACAGCATCCTTGAAGTATCGTGCTGCGTCATCAATGGCTCCTCCAAAGCGCGGGCCGATGGTGAGCAGACCTGCAAGGAGTAGCATTCAGAATCATGGAGACAGGATGGGGAGGGGGGGGGGGGGAGGAGAGGGGAAGCAAACTTGTGGCGTGATGGGCTGGTGGCACTCGTATCATTGTTTCCGGCTTCAGAGATTTGTGCAGAGAGAAAGACCCATGGAAAGGGAAGGAGGAGAAGCTAAGGGACGTTGCTGGAGGGAAGCTAAGAATGCGTGGGTCACAGCACTGCATCAAGTGGATGGGAGCTGGCCACAGCAGTAGTGTGAAACCTGGGGCACAAGCGTGCTTGCATTGCGATACTGGGAGGACTGACAATAGCGGAGCAAGGCAAGGGACAGCAAGACAAGCGCATGTGTATGTGTACCCAACGAAACACAAGATTCCGCTTCCTGCTTACTACCGTTTGCCAGGTAAGAGCAAACGCACAGAGTAAGCCCAACACAAACCGGATCCACACTGTACACGAGGTATGGCCCTGCAACCCTTCTTCATGTTGAGGGTAAGAGACACCACACCACATGTTTGGAGACGTCTCAAGACATGTCTCGAAACCGGATCCACAGTGTACACAACGTATGGCCCTGCAGCAACCCTTCATGTCGAGGGTAAGAGACACCACGTGGTGCCCCAGCAGGTGTGAAGGGGGATATGAGGGGGGTGCACCAGAGACGAGGCAGGAGATGAGGTCTTTTCCGGCTCGTGGTGACTTTTGAGTCGACTCAAAAGTCACTTTGTGACGGGGGAGATGAGGGGAACGCACCAGAGACAAGGCAGGAGATCAGGTCCTTGCCGGCTCGCGAGGTGACAATGGAGTTGTGTGCGCCAGACACACAGGGGCCGTGATCCGCACACAGCACCACACACATCTGCGTGCAGTCAAGTGGTAGGTGGGAGGAGCAGTGGCAGAGGGTTGGGAGAAGATGGTGCCGATGTAAGGGGAGGATATGGTGATGGTGATGATGATGATGGTGGGGAGACGCCCACAATAAGCCATTTCCAAAACCACGATTCACCATCACCAATGATTGTTAAAAAAAAGAAAAACAAGTGATTGTGTCAAGCGTTAGTCAAACGAGGGTCAGGCCACCACAGGACACGTGAGGGGCCAAGTTCTTCTACTGGTACGAGTGAGATGACTGGATTACCCGAAACAGATCATGCAAGGGGGGGTAGTAAGGCTGAACAAATAGAGTGGGCGAGAAACAAAGGTAAAGGTAAAGGTTATAGGGGAAAACCCCTTTAGTATTACCCCGGCTGACGATCGTAATCCGCCTACCCACTTGTTTACACGCCTCGCTGGGTTTCGAGGTAAGGATTATCCACTCCCAGATGAGCAGTGCGAAAACCCCTTCTGGGGGGCTGGCAGAACTCGCCCGCACTGGGGTTTGACCCAGTAACCTCATCCTTCGGAAGTCCCATCTTACTTGACTGGGCCACTTCAGGATGGCGAGAAACAAAGGATGCCTTAACGAAACGCTGCCATGGAATGGGAGAGCACCTCAATGAACTTGGTGCAGTAGGCGGGGAGGGAGCGCTTGAACCAGAGCAGGCACATGACGTCTCCCACGCCAAAGCCCTTCTCCACTATGGTCGAGATGGGCACCCCCGCGTATGTCGGCTCCTCGCCTGCAGGGTGAGGGAGGGGTGTTAGGAAGAAGGGCATGAGCATATACACAGGAGAGCACAGCGGTGCAGGCACATAACATTGCCCACGCCAAAGCCCTTGAGGCGCCTGAAGAATGCCCTCACCTCTATCGTCACAGATGGTGGAGACGATGTGTGTGGGGGCGCGCACTTTGCCGGCCTTGATGGCAGCTGTGAGGTCCTCCGGCACTGTGGGCGGCTTCTTCTCCGCCACTGGCTGAATGGCGCCCTCTGCTACCTGCACGCACCAGCAATGGATGATGTGTGTGCGAGGGGAGTGGGTGGCGGAAGGGAAGTGGTGAGAACATTGGGAGGGACGAGGTTCGTGATCAGAGGTCCTCCGGCACTGTGGGTGGCTGCTTCTCCGCGACTGGTTGGATGGCGCCCTCCGCCACCTGGGGATCAACAGGAAGGGCGTGTTTGAGGAGGAGTGGGGGAAGTGAGAGAGGAGAGGGGGAAAGCTGGCTGTGATCAAAGGTCGTCTGGCACTGTGGGCGGCTTCTTCTCAGACACTGGCTGGATGGCGCCCCCTGCTAGCTGGGAGCACCAGCAAGGCGTGATGGGAGGAGGTAAGACGCTGCGGAGGAACAAGGTCACTGGTCATGAAGAAGAGCTGCAGCGTGAAGGATCGCTTTAGCAAAGAACGATAGTCACTTGTTGAAAAAAAGTAACCCTGTAAAAAATTAGAGTAGATCTGTGACAAGGTCTGTGATCAATGGTCATCCGGCACTGTGGGCTGCTGCTGCTAAGTTTCCGCCTGAGGGATATTGGCACAGAGGGAAACTGAGGAGGGGAGATAGTGATACTGCACAGAGGCCGTGAGGCACGTGGGTGGGCCTCTTCTACTCTACCACTGGCCCATGCCATGTGGGGAGATGCCGGTATCAGCAGCGAGGAGGGTGGTGGTGAGAAATTCAATGCAATTGGCTTACAACAATGCGATATGTTATGTTATGGGCTCGACATCAAAGTGATGAACGAGAGAGGCCAGACTGGTAGGGGGTAATAATTCATCTGGCAATGGAAGCCTATCTTTGAATGATGCTGCTCGAGTGAAGAGGAGACGAGGGCCACGAGCCGTGTGTGAGAGAAGAGGACGCAGAGTGATGACACTTATGGTAAGTGACAAACGACTGCAACGAGCTTGTGCTTACCCTCTGTGCCTGTTCCTACAGCCTGCGTATGCCTGTGCTGCTGTGCTGGCTGCCTGTGCACGCCTGTGCTGATCACACAGGACTGCTGTGAAACTCACAAGCTTCTCATAGGTGGCGCGGATGACGGTCTCCATGTCCTCAAACCATGTCGGCACACAGTGACATGACATCCACTGGATACGCCAGAGGGAGCCAGGCTGGTGAAGGATACTCCACCTGGCATTGTGGACAGCTTTGACTTGTAATCGTACACTGTGTGTGAGACTCACGAGCTTCTCGTAGGTGGCGCGGATGACGGTCTCCAGGTCCTCAAATGATGTCGGCACAATGGCCCCCGCTGCCTTGAGCGCCGCGTTCTTCGCCTGTGCTGACTCGCTCTCCCCTCCGCTCTTGGCGCCCTGGGGGAACAACCGGGGGGGGGGAGTGGGAGGGACCAGGATTTTGAGCTAAAACATCGTGACAGGCCTCTCTTATGACATCCAACTGCCATAGTTGCTGCACTTGGTGTCCACACTGCGTCGCTCTTACCTCCATCCTTGGCGCATTCAGTGGACAACCAGGGAAAGATGTCGCCGGGCAGGAGGAAACAACCAAGTATGTGAAAACGATACTGACGAGCAGCTGTAAACAATGTGCCGTAAGGAGGAGTCAACCACTTGGGGTGTTACCGTTTTTTCACCAGAGCGTGCAAGTAGGTGGGTTGTGGGTCAAAGGCAGTGTGGTGTGGTGTGGTGGCTTACGGCGTGGCCGAACTGGACTTCGGACTTGAAGAGCGTTGCGCAGGTGCCACTGACCCACGCCACCACGGGCTTGTGCACGCGCCCCTCCTTCAACGCCTCCACCAGCGAGTACTCGTCTGCACCACCCAGCTCGCCCAGCACCACTATCATGCGGATCTGACGAAGCAAGAAAGGAGGGGAGCGGAGGGAGAAGGAGGGTCGGGGGGGGGTCAGTACACATGTTTGCAAGTCGTAACACCTTCCCTCCTTCAGTGCCTCCACCAGCGAGTACTCGTCCGTGCCCCCTAGCTCGCCCAGCACCACTATCATACGGATCTGACCCGCACAGGAGGGATGGGGAGAGGGGGAGAGGAGGTGGGGGTTGGGGGTTGGAGGAGGGGGAGGGTGAGACACAGACGATGGGGATGGTAGGTGCAGGGAGGCGGTGGAGGGATGTGCAAGGAGAGGACGAAGATGGAGACGTTAAAATTGGAGGGGCGAAGGGATTTTGTGCAATGTTGGATCTGCCTTTTCCATGGCACTATTAAGAGAAGGCGACAAAACAAGCACACATATGGCAAAGAGCTGGCAGGATGGAAATGAGCATGCAGAAGCGATCATGCCACTGCATACGTCTTCTGGCTGGCCCAAACAGAATCATGACATGCGCGCGCGCGCGCGCACACACACACCCACACCCACACCTACCCACCCACACACACACACACCCACACCCACATCCACACACACCCACACGTACAGCTGGTGCTGACCACCACTGTCATACCTGCGGAATGTTGTTGAATCTCAAGACATGGTCTGAGAGCGTGGAGCCTGGGAAGCCATCGCCACCAATGGCGATACCTGCATGGGCGAGGCAGGGAGATAGTAGTGCAGCAAGCGGTCATCACCACTATCCTTGCGACGTCTCGACACTCAAGTTGGTTTGACATTCACTACTACTGATGAACAAACGGGACAAGATGGAATCGTTAGCTGTTAACCCATAATTTTCTGTCAGTAAACGCCTCAGGAAAAGGCTAGAGAATGGCTGTCATGGCCTGGATCACGACTCATCCGCAATCCTCATTGGCTCCTGAATCATCCACTCCCTCCCTCACCTTCGTAGAGTCCATCTGTGGTGCGCGCCAGCACGTTGTACATCTCGTTCGACATGCCTCCCTGTGATCACACCACACCACAGCACCACAGCATGGAATCGAGAAAGGCGTGTGTGATCACACCACACCACAACACCACAACAATCAGGAAAACCACACATGGAAAAAGGGCAGAAATTAGAAACAGAAACCAGAATCAGCGAAGAGATTGAACAGACACATTCAGGAAGGTATAGGGGCTTTGAAAGGCGTGTGCATGTGTGAGACTCACCGACTTGGAGACGAATCCGACGGAGCCAGGGCGGTAGAGCTTGCAGCTGATGATGTTGTCCAGCGTGCCCGCTGTGTCTCCAATCTTGAACGCTCCCGCCTGGATGCCACCCACCGTTGCCGGGCCGATAATCACCTGTTGCCCAAGTACCACAGCACAGCGCATGTCAGTCAGTCGATCTTCAGTAGTTACATAGGAAGAGAAATTCAGGAGAAACTGATGGCTTTGCCGCCATGGGGTTGAAGCTTGTAAACCGACTGGCAAAGCAGGTGTGAGATGTGGCCTGCTGGGAGGTGGATGGATGGACAGGTGGTGCTGGTGGTGGCGTACCTTGTTGTTGGCGCGCGCGTAGGCGATGAGCGTCTTCGTGTCGGCCTCTGGCACGCCCTCTGCGATGATGGCCACCACTCGGATGGTGGGCTGCTTCAACGCCTCGAACGACGACTCGAACGCACTGCCGCGAGGGATGGGTATAATGCACGGGACGGTGAAGACATTGAGCAGTACCAATAAGGTATTCCCATGTACGGCGGGGGGTCGTTAAGGTCGTTGCAGAAAGTTGTGTGAAACATGCGCTGAGTCGGTGGTAAACCGAACATCTATTCACGCAAGCCACACCTTCGGAACGACGCGAAGTTGACGAAGACGTCAGCCGTTGGATGTGCCTTGCAGGCCGCCGTGATGCTGTATCGAGAACAAACACAAGGACAGACGGAAAGCATTAGAGGGAAACAAGTTATAAGGATGGCTGCGTACAAGCCGTCGTGTTTTTTACTTAATTTTACGTAGCTTCGGTATGGCATGCATACACAGGATGAAGGAACAAATAAAAATTTAAACGCGAAAGGCTAACTTACCTGGGGTGGACCGGAAGCGCGATCTCCTCTTGGCCGAAGAAGAGCTTGTGAAAGCCATCAGATCCCGGTGTAATGATGCCAGCAACAGAAGGCAGAGTTCGACCTGGGCACGAGTGGAAGAGAAAAGGAACGATTGCATGAGCTTTGTAAACGATATAGACGCCTAGGTTTAACAGTCCGGTCAGCAGATTCGTGAGTTTACGCAATCCTCCCTAACTAGAGCACAGGCCGAGAAGGCGTTACGGAGCTCAATGCATCAAATCTGGCTATGGCGCTACGTGATCTTCGCACCGCATAAGAAGTCGAAATCCAGCATCCGTTGAACGGGATTCTGCTTGTAGTTGTAGAACAGAGCCTGAGTATTCTTCGAGAACAGTTGGCCGGTCGCCATTTTGGCTCCAAGCAACTATGCAAGACCAGAGGAAATTGAGTTGATATCACTTGCACTCCTACAGAAAGAGTAACAGAAGCGATCAATGCGCCTGATGTTTGAGGGCAATGCCTGCTTTGCACAGAAAGTATCAAAATGTGACGGAGATCCCGAGGCAGGTTACAATTTTTTTTTTCACATGACAGCCGTTTCCTTTGATTTTGGTTTGGTGGGTGTCCGTCTGTCTGTAACCGCGATTGGTGCGAGCCTGCTGGGAGATGCAAAGTGATGTCTGCTGTGGTACGCGTGGGCCTCTGATCTGAGTCAGCCGTGCCTGGGATGGTGGGACCACACGGGGAAATGTCCACTGGTGGAGGCTTTCCACACTTAGCCACGTGGATCTAGATGTTGACACCCTCGAGAAAATCAGCAGATGAGTTGGTGGTGGGTCGTCGGATTTCTCAATTTTAGCCCAACACCACCAAATTGATCTGGTGAGCTACATGGAATGAATTCCTAACCTGTATGCACTAATCATAATCACCTTTTCCAATGGCTGGAAAGAAAAAGGTGGTGCACTGGTGGAATCCCCAAACGTATAATAAATATTATAAAAATAACTATTATAATTAAATATCAAATATAACAAGCATTTTTCTATGATACGCATCTGGAAAATGTATAAATTTGCAGAAATATTGATGTGCAAAGCTGTAATACTATTTTAAGTCACATTGCAGCTTATTTTTCCCCTTAATGGAACGCATTCACAGTTTCATGGATTTATATCTCATCCCAAATTTGTGATGATAAGAAGTTATTTTGTTGCAAAACGTGGAGAGCTAATTCAATGGAATCCCTTCAGAGCTGCAACTAACGAACCCAATTGCTGGATCCTCTGGCCCCAGTCCCACAACTTCCCTCCCGCTTTTTCCTTCCCACCACCTCAAATAAAGGCGGCCCGCGATCCAGGGACCAGCACCTAGTTAGGAACGTTACGTTTTGCGATGGACGCCTCACAAGTGGTGGAGGCCGTGTCCATTCTTTACACGGACCCCTCCCCGGATCGCAAGTCGCAGGCCAACGCATGGCTCACCTCCTTTGCCGCAACCCCCGCCGCATGGGGCGTCGCCGCGAGTCTCGTCGAGTCAGCGCAGTCAATGGAAGTCCGTTACTTCTGCGCTAATCTCCTTCTTTCGAAAGCGCGCTCCGATCTCTCCGCTCTCCTCCCAGACTCGCGCGCGGAGCTCGGCGCGCATCTGCTGCGCCTCGTCGCGTCCTACATGACCAATAGCAGCGTGCCACCTGTCGTCCTCTCCCGCGTCTGCCTCGTCGTGGCGGCGGTCGCGCTGAGGTCGGCCAATCAGCACGCGCTGAATGCCAGCACGCTATTGGACGTCGTGCTGCGCGCCGCTGACGTGGCGGAGAAGAGCGAGGGAGGAACTAGTGCGCACGGGTTGGGGGGTGGTGGCGGGGGCGGGGGAGGGGGAAGCGCAAGCGACCAGGCGCTGGCGGTGGTGGTTGCGGTGCTGCAGGGGGTGGCGGAAGAGGCGGAACAGCTGGATAGGCGCAACACAGAGATCACCCTCGCGCTCATCCGGGTGGGTAGGGTCGCAGTAGAGGGTATAGGCTCTCCTCACAGGGGCGGTAGGAGGGGCGGGGAGGGGAGAAGAGGAACCCGGTGTGGAGGGGAGGGAAGGGGCGGGAAGGGGAGGGAAGGGCATGCTGATGAGACTCACGGTACGGGAGGAGGGAGCGTAGTGATTGCTGGGACGGATTTAAGGCGAGGGCTGGAATAGGAGCGAGTGCCTTGACTTGCGTTGACTAGCGTTGGTCATCCAGGCCAGGGTAATTTTCCTGTGGTGTCCTGGCCTGTTTGCACGCTTTCTGATGCCGTCGGGCCGCCTCCGAAACAGACTCTCATCTCACCGCCCTCCCCATTCTGCCACATTGCATTCCACACAACAACAACAACAACAACAACAACAACCATTCCCCATACCCTCCCTCCAATACTCTCCTTCCCTTTGCATCCGTGCCCCCTTCATCCCTCGATCCCTTATTCCCTTAATCCTCCCATGCCGCCAGACGCGCTTCCCGGACCTGCTTCAGATCATCCAGACCTACACGCAGCGCCACACCTCCTCCCTCTCCGCGCCATCCTTCCCCTCCCACCAACCACCGCTCCTCTCCGCCTTCCTCCGCCTGCTGCTCACCTGGCTGCACCTCGACTTCCCCTCCTTGGGCCAGCAGCCAATCACAGCATGCCAGCTCAGCACCGCCTTCCCCTTCCTCTGGCACTTCATCCTCCGCTCGCTCGCATCGCCCTACCCGCCTGTCGCCGCCACCAGCGCCGATATCCTCGTGGCACTCGTCAGCCAATCAGATTCTCAAGGTGGGTTGGCTTACTTCGCATGGGCCATCAGAGGCCCAAGGTCGGTTGGTTGCTTGTGAGCCAATCAGAGAGCGAAGATAGGCTCATCTGCTGTCAACCGCCGGGACCTGACCTGAAGGGTGCCCTGCACGTTGCATTTTGTGTTCTGGCGCTGTCAACCGCCGGGACAAAGGGTTCTCATTCTGACTCACCTGATGCTGGCCCTAACATATTCTGGTTGGCCCTTCCCTTGCTCGCGGGTCATTCGTGCTTAACTTGGACTGGATCACTTCTGTTCGTTCCTGCCTGCATTTGAGACCTCCCATAAATCGCAATGGCAGTGCCAGTGCTAGAGCGGCAGCGGCATCGGCAGCGGCAGCAGCAGAGGAGCACCCAGAAACTCCTTCCATGCCTTCCCTTCCCCTCCCAGTACCATACACGTCGGCAGCAGGCATCCGTGCTCACAGGCACACACAGGCGCACACAGGCACACACAGGCACACACAGGCACACACAGGCACACACAGGCACACACAGGCACACACAGGCACCTGCAGGCGCAGGCTCATGGACTTATGAGGTGAGGCGGGCGGTGCAGAGGGCACTGAGCAGCGTGGCAGTGGCCATAGCAGAGGAGCACCCAGAGGCACTCACGGACCCACGTGCTCCTGAGGCTTCATCCCTCCCTCCACTTTCCCCACTCCCTCCCTGCCTTGTTTCCCCCCCCCCAGCACCAGACGCGTCAGCACCTGTCATCTCGTCCGTTTTGAAGGCCCTGTTAGACGCGTGGGACGTGGCCCAGACACAGTCAGGCACGTGGTCGCATGAAGCCAGGCGGGCGGTGCAGAGGGCACTGAGCAGCGTGGCAGTGGCCGTGGCAGAGGAGCACCCAGACGCGCTCACGGACCCACGTGCGCCCGAGGGCGTGGCTGTGGGGGAGGTCGTGCTGGCGTGCGCTGCAGGGGGCGGCGGGGCGTGGGGGGGAGGGGAAGGCGGCGAGGGGGAGAGTGCGGAGGAGGTGGAGGCGAGTGCAGACGCAGTGGTGGAGTTCTTTTTGGCTGTCAACACTGTGCCTGTGAACGAGAGGAGTGAGGGGTATCGGGGGGCGCTGTTTCTACGCCTGGCTGAAGTGTTGACCACCAAGGTGAGCCACGGGACGGGAATGGCGAGGGAGAGCAGGAGGAGAGGGGATCACAGGAGGTGGAGGCAAGTGCTGACACGGTGGTGGTGGAGTTCTTTTTAGCTGTCAACACCGTTCCTATGAATGAACGGAGTGAGGGGTATCGTATCGGGGGGTGCTGTTTCTACGGCTCACTGAAGTGTTCGCCATTAAGGTGAGACATGGGGCGTGTGTGAGGGAGGGAATGAGTGTGAAAGGGCAGAGGAGGACGTGGAGGCGAGTGCAGCAGAGCAGATGCGGTGGTGGAGTTCTTCTCGGCTGTGAGTTAACACAGTGCCTAATCAGAGGCTCATCACAGCACAGCACAGTGGGTCACAGCACAGAGACAGTCATGAACAGAGTGCACGTGCGTATGCCACACAACGCCACCTCCACTCCTGCACAGCCTAGCGGCAGCACTGTGACTCGATTCACTCAGGAATCAGCACTCCCCTTTGCTCGCCCCTTCTCTTCCCTCTCTTTCCAACCCATCTGCAGGCAGCCTATCCGCCCTCGTTCACATCGTGGGCCGACAATCAGGAAGATGCTGACGCCTTCTACCGCTTCAGGGACCAGGTAATTGCAACAGACCAGGTGATTGCAACAGAGGCCAGATGATTGCAACAGAGGCCAGGTGATTGCAGCGGATGGCAGTACCAGCAGAGAGTAGAATATAGAGAGAGAAGTGATGAGATGAGGTGATTTGATCGGAAAACAGGTGTTTACAATATAGGGTTTAGGCCTCGGGCCTCGGACTTGTGTTCGTAAACTGGTATGTTTTGAGGCTACCCACGGCGAGGAAGTGATAAGCCTCATGTTTTGAGGCCATCACATGAGGTGATGCTTGAGTCAACTCAAAACCTGCCTGGTTGCCTTTTGACTCAACACATAAGCTGTTGCGCAAACAATGCCGCTCGTCAGAATGAATGATGTATGTTTCACCTGCCATCCCACCTGGCCTCTGTTGTTTTCACCTGGCAGATAGCAGCGGACGGGCTGCACATGGCGTTTGGGCTGATGCCAGTGGAATACATGGACCGCGTGGGGGGCTCCCTGCAGGTGGGAGCACTGTCTTGCAATGCAATGGGGTACCTTCGCGTGGGTTCTTTTTGTAGAAGTAACCATGTAGAACCATGATGGCTGGCAATGTGTTCACCACTGTGGGCTGGCAATGTGTTCACCACTGTGGGCTGGCAATGTGTTCACCACTGTGGGCTGGCAATGTGTTCACCACTGTGGGCTGGCAATGTGTTCACCACTGTGGGCTGGCAATGTGTTCACCACTGTGGGCTGGCAATGTGTTCACCACTGTGGGCTGGCAATGTGTTCACCACTGTGGGCTGGCAATGTGTTCACCACTGTGGGCTGGCAATGTGTGCACCACTGTGGGCTGCAGCCAGATGAATACAATACATGGACCGCGTGGGGGCCTCCCTGCAGGTGGGTGTGGGAACAAGGGACCTACCCTGACCCTGATGCCCTGACTCGAGACAGGAGTGGGTGTGATGGCATTGCATTAACCAGTTTGCGCGGCACATGGCGTTTGGGCGGCACATGGCCTTTGCACGAGCTGCAGCCTGTGAAATACATGGACCGCTTGGGCACCTCCCTGCATGTGCTAGCGAGACGAGACCAAGGGACGTGATGTCTTGAGTCGAGACAGGGGTAGTAGCCATGATGGCAATGTGTTCACCAGTTGGTGATGCTGCCACTGCCAGTGGAATACGCATTGATGCCAGTGCAGTGGAACCGCTTGGGCACCTCCTTGCACGTGGGGTGGGGGTTGGACTGCAGTTCTGTTTTGCTTCTGTGTGCATGGCTCGTGGTGCTTGCTACCCAGTCACCACATCCCATCACCACATCCCATCAGCACATCCCATGATGACCACAGCACAGCATCCCATGCGTCACCATGCAGAGTGCAGGCACATGGCAGGCGGCAGAGGCGTCACTCTTCATGCTGCGATCTGCAGCCCAAGCAGGTAATGCTGCTGCTTGCCCCCCGCCCCACCCCATGCTTCTCTCCTTTACTCCACGACTCCCCTTCCATCATCTCAATCCCTGCAAAGTGGCGTTTTGAAAGCCCAACAGCAATTCCAACATGCCCTGTGCTCTGGCTAATAGATTTTTGAGGCGCCTCAAAAATCCAACATACCCTGTGCTGTGGCTAACAGTCAGTCAGCAGCACGTGCCGTCCCGACTTGACTATTCAGTCAATTCAAAAGTCTTGACTGTTGTGTGGCCACAGGCAGAAGCCTGTGGTCTTGTCACACTTTCGCACATGTTTCAATCAACCCTCAACCAGGACCACTATCCTCCTCCCATCCCAACCCTCCTCCACCGCCTCTCCTCCTCCTCGCCCATCAATTGCACAGAGGGAGTCCTCCCTCCCTCACCCTCCATCCTACCCGCCTCAAAGGTCTACCTTTCAACTCCAGGCGGGGTCTACCCTTCAACTCCCCACCTTTCTCCGCCCCCACCCCCCTCTCCCCTCTTCTTCTCCCCTCCAGTGAAGAAGCGACTATTAAACCTGGAGGCATACGGGGAGAGGGAGCAGCGCATGGCAACGGTGCTGGGAGGGGTGATGGTGCGCGTGAGCCGGGACGCGGAGACAGGGGGATTCCTGGCATCGCACCCCCTGCTGGTGGACACGTGTTGCCTCCTCATTGGCTCCTTCGCGGACTGGCTCAACCTCCAGCCAGACTGCCTGATGGGCGTCATTGGCTACCTTCTTAAAGCCCTGCAGGTGATTCTTTAAAGCCCAGGTCTCTCACACCCATCCTATCCAAATTGTCACATACCTCCTCAACAAGGCCCTGCACGTAATCTGCAAAAGCACTGCCAGCTTGCTATCTGCAACACAATCGGCACACCTCCTTTTTGAGAATTCTCAAAAAAAAAAATTCTCAGTGCTTTGGCAGATGCTGCCCATAGCACGCATGTTCCAGTGACATGCTGCTGTTTGCTGGAGCATGTCTCAAGATCTATCTGCGTGAGTGAGTTTTGCCCTGCAGGTTTCAATATCAGACGCTTTCAGTATCTCCGCACTCACATCCACACGCAGTGTGCAATGCAGCAGACGCTTTCAATACCGTGTGTGCAATGCAGCAGACGCTTTCAATACCGTGTGTGCAATGCAGCAGACGCTTTCAATACCGTGTGTGCAATGCAGCAGACGCTTTCAATACCGTGTGTGCAATGCAGCAGACGCTTTCAATACCGTGTGTGCCTTGCCTCGTGCATCCCGCGTCACCTCCCCCTCTTGCTCTCCTCCGCACATTCCCCTCCCCCTCTTGCTCTCCTCCTCACATTCCCTTCCCCCTTTCCCTGTCCCGCACATACTCTCATCCCACTCCTCATCCCCTCCAGATACCAGAGGCAGTGCGCAGTGCAGCAGGTGTGTTGAGGGCCATGTGCGTGCGCAGTGTCGCCCGCCTCAACGCCCGTCTCAACGCCCGCTCCCTCTCTCTTCTCCGCACCACACATCCTCCTTTCCTCCTTACCTGTCCACTCCCTTCCATTCCTACCCCTCCAGGTACCAGACGCAGTGCAGCAGGGGCCTTCAGGGCCGTGTGCGCCCACTGTGCCCCGCGACTCAACGCCCCCTCGCTCCTCCAGCACCTCATGACGGCCGCTCTCATGACGGCCGCTCTCATGACGGCCGCTCTCATGACGGCCGCTCTCATGACGGCCGCTCTCATGACGGCCGCTCTCATGACGGCCGCTCTCATGACGGCCGCTCTCATGACGGCCGCTCTCATGACGGCCGCTCTCATGACGGCCGCTCTCATGACGGCCGCTCTCATGACGGCCGCTCTCATGACGGCCGCTCTCATGACGGCCGCTCTCATGACGGCCGCTCTCATGACGGCCGCTCTCATGACGGCCGCTCTCATGACGGCCGCTCTCATGACGGCCGCTCTCATGACGGCCGCTCTCATGACGGCCGCTCTCATGACGGCCGCTCTCATGACGGCCGCTCTCATGACGGCCGCTCTCATGACGGCCGCTCTCATGACGGCCGCTCTCATGACGGCCGCTCTCATGACGGCCGCTCTCATGACGGCCGCTCTCATGACGGCCGCTCTCATGACGGCCGCTCTCATGACGGCCGCTCTCATGACGGCCGCTCTCATGACGGCCGCTCTCATGACGGCCGCTCTCATGACGGCCGCTCTCATGACGGCCGCTCTCATGACGGCCGCTCTCATGACGGCCGCTCTCATGACGGCCGCTCTCATGACGGCCGCTCTCATGACGGCCGCTCTCATGACGGCCGCTCTCATGACGGCCGCTCTCATGACGGCCGCTCTCATGACGGCCGCTCTCATGACGGCCGCTCTCATGACGGCCGCTCTCATGACGGCCGCTCTCATGACGGCCGCTCTCATGACGGCCGCTCTCATGACGGCCGCTCTCATGACGGCCGCTCTCATGACGGCCGCTCTCATGACGGCCGCTCTCATGACGGCCGCTCTCATGACGGCCGCTCTCATGACGGCCGCTCTCATGACGGCCGCTCTCATGACGGCCGCTCTCATGACGGCCGCTCTCATGACGGCCGCTCTCATGACGGCCGCTCTCATGACGGCCGCTCTCATGACGGCCGCTCTCATGACGGCCGCTCTCATGACGGCCGCTCTCATGACGGCCGCTCTCATGACGGCCGCTCTCATGACGGCCGCTCTCATGACGGCCGCTCTCATGACGGCCGCTCTCATGACGGCCGCTCTCATGACGGCCGCTCTCATGACGGCCGCTCTCATGACGGCCGCTCTCATGACGGCCGCTCTCATGACGGCCGCTCTCATGACGGCCGCTCTCATGACGGCCGCTCTCATGACGGCCGCTCTCATGACGGCCGCTCTCATGACGGCCGCTCTCATGACGGCCGCTCTCATGACGGCCGCTCTCATGACGGCCGCTCTCATGACGGCCGCTCTCATGACGGCCGCTCTCATGACGGCCGCTCTCATGACGGCCGCTCTCATGACGGCCGCTCTCATGACGGCCGCTCTCATGACGGCCGCTCTCATGACGGCCGCTCTCATGACGGCCGCTCTCATGACGGCCGCTCTCATGACGGCCGCTCTCATGACGGCCGCTCTCATGACGGCCGCTCTCATGACGGCCGCTCTCATGACGGCCGCTCTCATGACGGCCGCTCTCATGACGGCCGCTCTCATGACGGCCGCTCTCATGACGGCCGCTCTCATGACGGCCGCTCTCATGACGGCCGCTCTCATGACGGCCGCTCTCATGACGGCCGCTCTCATGACGGCCGCTCTCATGACGGCCGCTCTCATGACGGCCGCTCTCATGACGGCCGCTCTCATGACGGCCGCTCTCATGACGGCCGCTCTCATGACGGCCGCTCTCATGACGGCCGCTCTCATGACGGCCGCTCTCATGACGGCCGCTCTCATGACGGCCGCTCTCATGACGGCCGCTCTCATGACGGCCGCTCTCATGACGGCCGCTCTCATGACGGCCGCTCTCATGACGGCCGCTCTCATGACGGCCGCTCTCATGACGGCCGCTCTCATGACGGCCGCTCTCATGACGGCCGCTCTCATGACGGCCGCTCTCATGACGGCCGCTCTCATGACGGCCGCTCTCATGACGGCCGCTCTCATGACGGCCGCTCTCATGACGGCCGCTCTCATGACGGCCGCTCTCATGACGGCCGCTCTCATGACGGCCGCTCTCATGACGGCCGCTCTCATGACGGCCGCTCTCATGACGGCCGCTCTCATGACGGCCGCTCTCATGACGGCCGCTCTCATGACGGCCGCTCTCATGACGGCCGCTCTCATGACGGCCGCTCTCATGACGGCCGCTCTCATGACGGCCGCTCTCATGACGGCCGCTCTCATGACGGCCGCTCTCATGACGGCCGCTCTCATGACGGCCGCTCTCATGACGGCCGCTCTCATGACGGCCGCTCTCATGACGGCCGCTCTCATGACGGCCGCTCTCATGACGGCCGCTCTCATGACGGCCGCTCTCATGACGGCCGCTCTCATGACGGCCGCTCTCATGACGGCCGCTCTCATGACGGCCGCTCTCATGACGGCCGCTCTCATGACGGCCGCTCTCATGACGGCCGCTCTCATGACGGCCGCTCTCATGACGGCCGCTCTCATGACGGCCGCTCTCATGACGGCCGCTCTCATGACGGCCGCTCTCATGACGGCCGCTCTCATGACGGCCGCTCTCATGACGGCCGCTCTCATGACGGCCGCTCTCATGACGGCCGCTCTCATGACGGCCGCTCTCATGACGGCCGCTCTCATGACGGCCGCTCTCATGACGGCCGCTCTCATGACGGCCGCTCTCATGACGGCCGCTCTCATGACGGCCGCTCTCATGACGGCCGCTCTCATGACGGCCGCTCTCATGACGGCCGCTCTCATGACGGCCGCTCTCATGACGGCCGCTCTCATGACGGCCGCTCTCATGACGGCCGCTCTCATGACGGCCGCTCTCATGACGGCCGCTCTCATGACGGCCGCTCTCATGACGGCCGCTCTCATGACGGCCGCTCTCATGACGGCCGCTCTCATGACGGCCGCTCTCATGACGGCCGCTCTCATGACGGCCGCTCTCATGACGGCCGCTCTCATGACGGCCGCTCTCATGACGGCCGCTCTCATGACGGCCGCTCTCATGACGGCCGCTCTCATGACGGCCGCTCTCATGACGGCCGCTCTCATGACGGCCGCTCTCATGACGGCCGCTCTCATGACGGCCGCTCTCATGACGGCCGCTCTCATGACGGCCGCTCTCATGACGGCCGCTCTCATGACGGCCGCTCTCATGACGGCCGCTCTCATGACGGCCGCTCTCATGACGGCCGCTCTCATGACGGCCGCTCTCATGACGGCCGCTCTCATGACGGCCGCTCTCATGACGGCCGCTCTCATGACGGCCGCTCTCATGACGGCCGCTCTCATGACGGCCGCTCTCATGACGGCCGCTCTCATGACGGCCGCTCTCATGACGGCCGCTCTCATGACGGCCGCTCTCATGACGGCCGCTCTCATGACGGCCGCTCTCATGACGGCCGCTCTCATGACGGCCGCTCTCATGACGGCCGCTCTCATGACGGCCGCTCTCATGACGGCCGCTCTCATGACGGCCGCTCTCATGACGGCCGCTCTCATGACGGCCGCTCTCATGACGGCCGCTCTCATGACGGCCGCTCTCATGACGGCCGCTCTCATGACGGCCGCTCTCATGACGGCCGCTCTCATGACGGCCGCTCTCATGACGGCCGCTCTCATGACGGCCGCTCTCATGACGGCCGCTCTCATGACGGCCGCTCTCATGACGGCCGCTCTCATGACGGCCGCTCTCATGACGGCCGCTCTCATGACGGCCGCTCTCATGACGGCCGCTCTCATGACGGCCGCTCTCATGACGGCCGCTCTCATGACGGCCGCTCTCATGACGGCCGCTCTCATGACGGCCGCTCTCATGACGGCCGCTCTCATGACGGCCGCTCTCATGACGGCCGCTCTCATGACGGCCGCTCTCATGACGGCCGCTCTCATGACGGCCGCTCTCATGACGGCCGCTCTCATGACGGCCGCTCTCATGACGGCCGCTCTCATGACGGCCGCTCTCATGACGGCCGCTCTCATGACGGCCGCTCTCATGACGGCCGCTCTCATGACGGCCGCTCTCATGACGGCCGCTCTCATGACGGCCGCTCTCATGACGGCCGCTCTCATGACGGCCGCTCTCATGACGGCCGCTCTCATGACGGCCGCTCTCATGACGGCCGCTCTCATGACGGCCGCTCTCATGACGGCCGCTCTCATGACGGCCGCTCTCATGACGGCCGCTCTCATGACGGCCGCTCTCATGACGGCCGCTCTCATGACGGCCGCTCTCATGACGGCCGCTCTCATGACGGCCGCTCTCATGACGGCCGCTCTCATGACGGCCGCTCTCATGACGGCCGCTCTCATGACGGCCGCTCTCATGACGGCCGCTCTCATGACGGCCGCTCTCATGACGGCCGCTCTCATGACGGCCGCTCTCATGACGGCCGCTCTCATGACGGCCGCTCTCATGACGGCCGCTCTCATGACGGCCGCTCTCATGACGGCCGCTCTCATGACGGCCGCTCTCATGACGGCCGCTCTCATGACGGCCGCTCTCATGACGGCCGCTCTCATGACGGCCGCTCTCATGACGGCCGCTCTCATGACGGCCGCTCTCATGACGGCCGCTCTCATGACGGCCGCTCTCATGACGGCCGCTCTCATGACGGCCGCTCTCATGACGGCCGCTCTCATGACGGCCGCTCTCATGACGGCCGCTCTCATGACGGCCGCTCTCATGACGGCCGCTCTCATGACGGCCGCTCTCATGACGGCCGCTCTCATGACGGCCGCTCTCATGACGGCCGCTCTCATGACGGCCGCTCTCATGACGGCCGCTCTCATGACGGCCGCTCTCATGACGGCCGCTCTCATGACGGCCGCTCTCATGACGGCCGCTCTCATGACGGCCGCTCTCATGACGGCCGCTCTCATGACGGCCGCTCTCATGACGGCCGCTCTCATGACGGCCGCTCTCATGACGGCCGCTCTCATGACGGCCGCTCTCATGACGGCCGCTCTCATGACGGCCGCTCTCATGACGGCCGCTCTCATGACGGCCGCTCTCATGACGGCCGCTCTCATGACGGCCGCTCTCATGACGGCCGCTCTCATGACGGCCGCTCTCATGACGGCCGCTCTCATGACGGCCGCTCTCATGACGGCCGCTCTCATGACGGCCGCTCTCATGACGGCCGCTCTCATGACGGCCGCTCTCATGACGGCCGCTCTCATGACGGCCGCTCTCATGACGGCCGCTCTCATGACGGCCGCTCTCATGACGGCCGCTCTCATGACGGCCGCTCTCATGACGGCCGCTCTCATGACGGCCGCTCTCATGACGGCCGCTCTCATGACGGCCGCTCTCATGACGGCCGCTCTCATGACGGCCGCTCTCATGACGGCCGCTCTCATGACGGCCGCTCTCATGACGGCCGCTCTCATGACGGCCGCTCTCATGACGGCCGCTCTCATGACGGCCGCTCTCATGACGGCCGCTCTCATGACGGCCGCTCTCATGACGGCCGCTCTCATGACGGCCGCTCTCATGACGGCCGCTCTCATGACGGCCGCTCTCATGACGGCCGCTCTCATGACGGCCGCTCTCATGACGGCCGCTCTCATGACGGCCGCTCTCATGACGGCCGCTCTCATGACGGCCGCTCTCATGACGGCCGCTCTCATGACTCTCTCCGTCCTCCTCGAGCAGTGAGGCGCATTTTGAGGCGCCTCAAAATGCAGCACCTCATGACTGCTACTCTCTCCGCCCTCCTCTCCACCTCTCTGCTCTCCCTCCCTCCCTGCTCTCCCTCCCTCCCATGATCCATCTCCCCGCCCCACCAGGTACCAGAAGCAGTGCGCAGTGCAGCAGGGGCCTTCAGGGCCGTGTGTGCCCGCTGCTCCTCCCGCCTCAACGCCCCCTCACTCCTCCATCACCTCATGACGGCTACCCTCTCCGCCCTCCCCTCCACCTCCCTCATCCCCTCTCGCCCGCGCGGCACCGCCCACCTCCCCTCTTCCTTCTCCTCCTCCCTCTCCTCCTCCTCCTTCTCCTCCTCCTCCTTCTCCTTCCCCTCCTCGCACTCTCATGCGCCCGCCTCCCACCCCGCCTCCCCTCACTCCGTAGACCTAGAGATTAGACAGGCGCTAATGGAGGGGCAGGCGAGGGTCATCGCCTCCCTCCCTCCCTCCACCGCCGCCCCTCTTGCTCTCACCCTCACCTCGCCGCACTTACAGCTGGCGGAACAGCTGGCGCAGATGCAGACGAATGAAGCCAGTGGGTTTGGATCGAGCAGTGATGGTGGTGGGAGGGGTGGCAGTAGTGGTGGGATTGGTGCGGTTGGGAGTGGTGGGAGTGGGGGTGAAGGGGTGGGAGAGTCGCTGTCGACTCAGCTGCTGCTGCTGGCTGCTGCCGTGCGCTTCCTTGAGTTTGACGACGCCTTGAGACGCATGCCGCCCTCCCAGCAACAACAACAACAACAAATACAGGACCATCAACAGCAACATCAACAACAGCAGCAATCACAAAACCACCAACAACAGCAGCAGCACCCATGCATAGCAGTGATGGAAGCAGCAGCACCGTTGGTATCAGAGCTCCTCTCCTCCCCCCAATGGCGCTCCCACCCGCAAGTCATCACCGCCCTCTGCCACCTCTTCCGCCACTCCTTACTCTGCCTCAAGCACCCCTCTCCACCCATCCTGCCGTCCATCGCACCGCTCGTCACCACATTCGAGGAGCACCAGCACCCAGCAGTGTTGGAGGTGCTAGCGTTGGTTCTCGAGCTCAATGCTTCTGCAGCGTCTGCTGGCGGTGCTGCTGGGGACCTGTCTCTCTGTCACTCCGCCCTGCAGGCGTGCTCCATCAGTGCATTCTCGCTCATTCAGGTCAGCCTCTTGTCTCCCTTCACCTCGTTCGCCACGCGAGGAGCACCAGCACCCAGCAGTGTTGGAGGTACTAGCTTTGGTTCTTGAGATCAGTGCTTCTGCGGCGTCTGCTGGCAGTGCTGCTGGTGATCTCTCTGTCTGTCACTCCGCACTGCAAGCTTGCTCCATCAGTGCCTTCTCGCTCATTCAGGTGAGCCTGTCTCAGGTGAGCCTGTCTCAGGTGAGCCTGTATCAGATGAGCCTGTATCAGATGAGCCTGTCTCAGGTGAGCCTGTCTCAGGTGAGCCTGTCTCAGGTGAGCCTGTCTCAGGTGAGCCTGTCTCAGGTGAGCCTGTCTCAGGTGAGCCTGTCTCAGGTGAGCCTGTCTCAGGTGAGCCTGTCTCAGGTGAGCCTGTCTCAGGTGAGCCTGTCTCAGGTGAGCCTGTCTCAGGTGAGCCTGTCTCAGGTGAGCCTGTCTCAGGTGAGCCTGTCTCAGGTGAGCCTGTCTCAGGTGAGCCTGTCTCAGGTGAGCCTGTCTCAGGTGAGCCTGTCTCAGGTGAGCCTGTCTCAGGTGAGCCTGTCTCAGGTGAGCCTGTCTCAGGTGAGCCTGTCTCAGGTGAGCCTGTCTCAGGTGAGCCTGTCTCAGGTGAGCCTGTCTCAGGTGAGCCTGTCTCAGGTGAGCCTGTCTCAGGTGAGCCTGTCTCAGGTGAGCCTGTCTCAGGTGAGCCTGTCTCAGGTGAGCCTGTCTCAGGTGAGCCTGTCTCAGGTGAGCCTGTCTCAGGTGAGCCTGTCTCAGGTGAGCCTGTCTCAGGTGAGCCTGTCTCAGGTGAGCCTGTCTCAGGTGAGCCTGTCTCAGGTGAGCCTGTCTCAGGTGAGCCTGTCTCAGGTGAGCCTGTCTCAGGTGAGCCTGTCTCAGGTGAGCCTGTCTCAGGTGAGCCTGTCTCAGGTGAGCCTGTCTCAGGTGAGCCTGTCTCAGGTGAGCCTGTCTCAGGTGAGCCTGTCTCAGGTGAGCCTGTCTCAGGTGAGCCTGTCTCAGGTGAGCCTGTCTCAGGTGAGCCTGTCTCAGGTGAGCCTGTCTCAGGTGAGCCTGTCTCAGGTGAGCCTGTCCCAGGTGCGCCTGTCCCAGGTGCGCCTGTCCCAGGTGCGCCTGTCCCAGGTGCGCCTGTCCCAGGTGCGCCTGTCCCAGGTGAGCCTGTCTCAGGTGAGCCTGTCTCAGGTGAGCCTGTCTCAGGTGAGCCTGTCTCAGGTGAGCCTGTCTCAGGTGAGCCTGTCTCAGGTGAGCCTGTCTCAGGTGAGCCTGTCTCAGGTGAGCCTGTCTCAGGTGAGCCTGTCTCAGGTGAGCCTGTCTCAGGTGAGCCTGTCTCAGGTGAGCCTGTCTCAGGTGAGCCTGTCTCAGGTGAGCCTGTCTCAGGTGAGCCTGTCTCAGGTGAGCCTGTCTCAGGTGAGCCTGTCTCAGGTGAGCCTGTCTCAGGTGAGTCAGGTGAGCCTGTCTCAGGTGAGCCTGTCTCAGGTGAGCCTGTCTCAGGTGAGCCTGTCTCAGGTGAGCCTGTCTCAGGTGAGCCTGTCTCAGGTGAGCCTGTCTCAGGTGAGCCTGTCTCAGGTGAGCCTGTCTCAGGTGAGCCTGTCTCAGATGAGCCTGTCTCAGGTGAGCCTGTCTCAGGTGAGCCTGTCTCAGGTGAGCCTGTCTCAGATGAGCCTGTCTCGGTGAGCCTGTCTCAGGTGAGCCTGTCTCAGGTGAGCCTGTCTCAGGTGAGCCTGTCTCAGGTGAGCCTGTCTCAGATGAGCCTGTCTCAGATGAGCCTGTCTCAGATGAGCCTGTCTCAGATGAGCCTGTCTCAGGTGAGCCTGTCTCAGGTGAGCCTGTCTCAGGTGAGCCTGTCTCGGATGAGCCTGTCTCGGATGAGCCTGTCTCGGATGAGCCTGTCTCGGATGAGCCTGTCTCGGATGAGCCTGTCTCGGATGAGCCTGTCTCGGATGAGCCTGTCTCGGATGAGCCTGTCTCGGGTGAGCCTGTCTCAGGTGAGCCTGTCTCAGGTGAGCCTGTCTCAGGTGAGCCTGTCTCAGGTGAGCCTGTCTCAGGTGAGCCTGTCTCAGGTGAGCCTGTCTCAGGTGAGCCTGTCTCAGATGAGCCTGTCTCAGATGAGCCTGTCTCAGATGAGCCTGTCTCAGATGAGCCTGTCTCAGGTGAGGCTCCACCTTCTCTGCATGAAGCATTCATGGGGCACCAACCCTGCAGGCCTGTCCCATCAGTGCATTCTCTCTCATTCAGGTGAGCCTTGTGTCCCATCAGTGCATTCTCTGTCAAGCATGCGAGCAGCGCCAGAACCTGGCCGTGTTAGAGAGGTGCTGGCATTGGTGCTCGAGCTCCATGCCGCTGCCGCGTCTGCTGGGAGTGCTGGCGGTGCTGCTGGTGCTTCTGGTAATGGTACTGCTGCTGGCGATCTGTCTTCCTGTCACTCCGCACTGCAAGCATGCTCCAACAGTGCATTCTCGCTCATTCAGGTGAGCCTGTCTCCTGTCTCTGTGTTTGGCACGCGAGGAGGGACACCTGCACCTGCACCTGCACCTGCACCTGCACCTGCACCTGCACCTGCACCTGCACCTGCACCTGCACCTGCACCTGCACCTGCACCTGCACCTGCACCTGCACCTGCACCTGCACCTGCACCTGCACCTGCACCTGCACCTGCACCTGCACCTGCACCTGCACCTGCACCTGCACCTGCACCTGCACCTGCACCTGCATCTCTGCTCCGCCTGTGCGTCCAATCCAATAACGTTCAAACCTATGCCGCTCCTGTTTCATCTCCCCTCCTATCCGCACAGTGCGGTCATCTCCCCCTCGCCCGGAGGTCCTCTCAGCCCTCTTCGACATGGCGTACCGCTACCTGCTCTTTGGACGGGCACCTGCTGCAGCGACCTCCCCATCCAACCTCATCTAAACTCCTTCCAATACCTCCTTCTTTCTCCACTCCTCCCATCCACACAGAGAGGTCATCTCCCCCATCGACCAGAGGTCCTATCAGCGCTCTTCGACATGGCCTACCGCTACCTGCTCTTCGCGCCGCACCTGCTGCTGCAGGCGCCCTTCCTGGGGGCACTGCTGGACGCCGCTGCAGCCACCATGGCACACGGGGAGAGGGAATCTGCTAAATCAGCGCTCACGCTGCTCTGCTTCCTGCTGTCACCGGGCAAGAAAGCACTTTCCTCGCCCACCTGGATCAGGTAAGAGCGCCACTCTCCCACATGCAGCCACTCTCCAACAATCTCTTACTCTTTCTCTCTTGCTCTCAGTGCTCGCTCGTGTTGCTGTCTCTGGGGGGGCAAGAGGCCGCACCTGCTGCTGAAGGCGCCCTTCCTGGGGGCGCTGCTGGATGCTGCATCAGGCACGGTGGCGCACGGGGAGAGAGAGAATCCGCCAAGTCAGCGCTCACGCTGCTGTGCTTCGTGCTGTCCCCGGGGGAAAAGGCACTCTCGTCCGCTGCTTGGATCAGGTGAGACCTTCGCCACTCTCTCACAACGAGTCCAGGAGGCAACGAAGTTCCCTTCTTGAGGGTCCTGCTGGACGCAGCAGCAGCCACGGTAGCACACGGGGAGAGGGAGTCCGCCAAGTCAGCGTTCACGCTGCTGTGCTTCGTGCTGTCACCGGGCAAGAAGGTGCTCTCATCTCCTGCCTGGATCAGGTAAGAGCGTTGCTCTCCCACACTTTCGTATCTCTCACCTCCACTCGCACCCAGCTCTTGTTTTCCATCCATGGCTCACTTGGACAAGCTTTGTCCCCTCATCCCTCTCCTCTCCCCTCAACCCTCCTCTCTCACCTCCCCTCTCCCCTCGCCCCTCGCCACTTGCCCCTCGCCCCTCGCACCTCACCCCTCGCTCCCCTTGCCCCTCCGCTCCCCTTGCCCCTCCGCTCCCCTTGCCCCTCCGCTCCCCTTGCCCCTCCGCTCCCCTTGCCCCTCCGCCGCCCCCCTCCCCTTGCCCCTCCGCTCCCCTTGCCCCTCCGCTCCCCTTGCCCCTCCGCTCCCCTTGCCCCTCCGCTCCCCTTGCCCCTCCCCTCCCTCTTGCCCCTCCGCTCCCCTTGCCCCTCCGCTCCCCTTGCCCCTCCGCTCCCCTTGCCCCTCCGCTCCCCTTGCCCCTCCGCTCCCCTTGCCCCTCCGCTCCCCTTGCCCCTCCGCTCCCCTTGCCCCTCCGCTCCCCTTGCCCCTCCGCTCCCCTTGCCCCTCCGCTCCCCTTGCCCCTCCGCTCCCCTTGCCCCCGCTCCCCTTGCCCCTCCGCTCCCCTTGCCCCTCCTCTCCCCTTGCCCCTCCGCTCCCCTTGCCCCTCCTCTCCCCTTGCCCCTCCCCCTCACAGTGCCCAACCCGTGATTATAACAAGTCTACAGCACCAGGGCCAATCAGTCGTCTCCTCCCTCCTCCTAGCAGCAGCAGGAAAAGCCCCCCGGGATCTACTCAGACCCATCGCCACCGCTCTCCACCACCTCATCCTTCTCCCCGACCTCCACCCGCTCCTCCCCAACTGGCTGGTTACCACGTTACGTTCACCGGACTTCCAGAGGGGGGTGCCAGAGGCGGTGGGGGAGGGGGAGATGCAGCTGTTCTGTGAGTTGGTGTTGAGGCAGCCGCCATTGCCAAGGCAGCGGTTTGAAGCTCTGGTAGCAGATTTTGCTGCCCTTTGCCGCTCTGAAGGGACGGCTGATGCACTGCTGGGATATCAAATGTAGAGAAAGCCATCGTTCTTGCTGTGTTACGTTCACCGGACTTCCAGAGGGGGGTGCCAGAGGCGGTGGGGGAGGGGGAGATGCAGCTGTTCTGTGAGTTGGTGCTGAGACAGCCGCCACTACCAAGGCAGCGGTTTGAAGCTCTGGTGGCAGATTTTGCTGCCCTCTGCGGGAACGGCTGATGCGTTGTTGGGGTATCAGTTGTAGTGTAGCTGATGGGTGTTGCTGTGCTTTTAGTGTAGCTGTGTGCGTCATTTTGTTGCTGTGCGGTATAGTGGCAGGCCATGTGCATGGCAAGCTATGCGGTTAGTAAGCCACGTGTGTAGCAAGCCGTACATTTTTAGCCATCTATCTTGCAGTGTATGTTGAGATTGCGAGTAAAGTGGTCGCCTTGTCTATGCATTCTATTTATTGCTTTGTTTACGGTACATTACATTCATCCACCTGGTTGCAGTTAGGAACAGGACTTCCAGAAGTTATCAACAGAAGCTGGTGAGCAAAAAGTGATGGCACAGTAATAGGGGAGCAGCCTCAGTGGTGGTTGATGAATGTAGCAATCAGGAACAGGGAAACCACCCAGCACATGCAAGGTATAAGTGCGTACCGTATGTGCAATCTCTTAGGTAAGACAGTCGAGATAAAAGTACTACCGGTATGGCGACGGTAAACCCTGGACGAGACATGGAGTAGTTTATGGGCCCAGTGCTGATGTTGGGAATCAGTCCTGAGATGTATGAACAGAACTGTACACGGTGTACAGGAAGGAAGAGGAGAAATACAAGACAAGAAAATGCTGTTTTTTTAACAATGACTAGTTTAAGTTCAAACACTGTTACAAACACAAACCTCCACATTTTCATCCCTGATTCCAATTGAACCAGCCGCGCCGGGAGGGACCTGCAGGGAATGGCGAGCAGAGGCCCGTTCTAGCCCCGGTTTCTGTTTTCCAGTTCCATTTTGAAAACCTTCCAGATAACATTTGCGAAACTGTTTTCACTGTGGTTGTGAAACTTACAAAAGCAGCACCCACGCTGACTCTGTTGACGGTACCAAGGTCGATTACGCCCTTCCCGCGGTTGTTCTTCGGCGAGCACTTTCTAAGGCGATGATTGGTGGAAAGTAAAGCGGCCTAGTCGCCCTTTTCCCAACCGAACCCAGCCGATAGTCCCTCGCGGCAGCTTCCATACCACCCCATCGCGACGCAATCAAGCGGCTGGTTGACTGCGGCCGCTTTTGATACCTTCTCGAATAGGCGGTTCGTCGCCTAATCCTTCCGAGTCGCTTGCCGCTCATCGTCCAGTAACCGAACCGCCTTCATGCATGGACGTCTCCGCGATTGAAGATGCCAGAACAAGAGAACCGTAGAGTACAAATGCAGAGGAATTTGCTGCAATTACCATCATTCAAGCTACTCGTTCACAAGTTTCCAACATTTCCACTCGACCTAATTCGCCCCCTTGCCTCAACAATCGAACTGCTTTCCCCCATGGCTGCAAATTCGGTCTGCGCGTTCTCTCTGCTTGTCCTCGCGCTCCTGGGCCTGTCACTGACCGCTGACGCGGCTCGCCCGTACTGCCGCTTCGATGGGAAGCTGGTGCTGAGCAACCTGATGAGGGAGCTGCGGGCCGCCAAGAACTACACCACCTTTCTCGACGGACTCAAAACAACAGGTCAGATTCCGCTCCACAGCATAATGCCAATCACATCGTCCAATCACATTAAATGTTCGTCGTTGTGATATTACACGCCCTTGGACTCATTAACTATTTTCGTTAGCTAATTTCTCTTTTCCTAACCTCACGTCGTCACGTTTTCCGTCTGCCGTTATCCGTCAGGGCTGGACGAGGACCTGCCGGACCTGTTCCGCTGCTACGAGGCGACCGTCTTCGCTCCCATGGACGCCGCCTTCGCCAACCTTTCGAGCGACATCAAATCGGCGCTTTGCGAAAGGAAGGTGCTTCGCGAGGTGCTGCTGCTGCACGTCGTCAAGGGCAAGGTCAACGGCGCCACGCTAGCTGGGCAGAAGGAGGGGCAGGAGGTGAGCAAAGGCGACGGCGGAGCAACGCGTGTCAACGATTTCGCGATGTATACTGTCGTCATGGCTGGGAAAACCTTATTGCTTTTGCCCGAAGCCTAATCCGAATGCATTAACGTTTTACTTGATCCTTACTCGATCCCGTTGTCTAATCTGCTTGTAATTCCCATCCCCCCACCATCCCGTCTATCCCTACCCGTCGTCTGATTTGCTTATACTCCCACCGAAAACTCGTACCCAAAATCTCTCAAATCACCTTACCTTTCTTCTTCCCCTCCCTCCAGTACATGGCCGCGGCTGATTCGTGCAAGGCGCAGCTGGTGAAGGTCTCAGCTGCCGGAGTCAAGCCCGTTCAGCTCAAGGCTGCGGACGGTGCGGACGAAGCTTCCGTGGTGGCTCCTGACGTCATTGCGCTGCGAGTGGTGCAGGTGCATGGCGTGGATGACGTCATCCTGCCCAAGACTCTGAGCAAGGGCGACGACGACAGCCTCAAGCCCCGCAAATGCACCGCCTGGGTCGCTTAGCGTTACCACGCTACCAGCTATTGGTGATTACCAGCTCGGTGACCAGCCTAGGTCGTTACTGGGCTAGATGATTACTGGGATAGTAGTTTCTTACCCGGCGCTGGTCAGCTCGCTAGGACGACACCAGACAACACATGGCCTGGGCAGCTATGTTAGAGCTGAGTTGCGAGGTCAGGTTGTTTTCCGCTGGAGCCTGCCATGAGACGGTTGTTCATACGATGTTGACTCTGCCGGAAGAACGTGGGAGGTTTGAAAATAGGGTATTTATAACTGCACCAAGCGTGTCACACAGTGTGTATCCAGTTTACCAGCTTGGTGCTGCGCATTCCCCTTTGGATGCGAAATTTGACACCGTAAAGCGAGTGATCATTTGAAGAAACACTAATGTCCTCTGTTTTACTAAAGTATGCATCGCGCAAGGCTTACCTGGGTGTAACGCGACACAAGTCCGACCTGTAACGTGTTGAGTCAACAAGTCAACATTCCTGAAAAACCTGCTCTGATAGGTCACGCAGGTGATGGAACGCCGCGTCCGAGCCTCGAATGGTTGCAGCCCGCCCATCCTTACCTGGTAACACCGCCACTGACGGCGGATGTTGGCATAGATGCGGAAGTGGCTCGTGAGTCTAGGTACAGGTAATTCGAGACCGAATGTCAGGCAGTACTGCGAGCGAACACTTTACGAACACGGATGACTCGCAGCAAGGTTGGAGAAAAAAGACTGGCGTGGTGGGCAAACGCGCGAAAGTGGAGCTACGGAAACAGAAAGGTTGCGCTTAGACTGAGAACACTGTGGACAAGGTAGAGAGCTGCTTGGTTGTGGCTCCTTGAGCAATGCTAGAACTGTGCGAGTTGGGTGCTTGGTAGTCTCCTGTCCTCCCCAAGTCCAGCTCAATGCACTCAACTCAACCCAGGCTTGTTTTCCGTGCGCAGCGAACCATTTGCGATCGCAAATGTCTTCCCCCACAGGTCGCGGTTTGGGCATTATCGTGGGTTTGTTAGTTGGATGACGGCAGGCGCGGTATTGGCCGTCGATGGTGCATGCAAGCGTGAATGCCGGTCTGCTTCTGAATAGAATAGTGTAGACTTGCTGTGAAGTGTGAACGAACAAACCAACATGAAAACAAAACTAAAAAAAAATTCCCTTCGTTGGTATATGAAAGCATGGACTTTTTTCCTGTCTGCTTCCACTATTCCCCACCCCTCTCAACTGCTTTCCTTAGCCTGAAAGTCTTGAAAGTTATCGCTCCAATAGACTTGTTAGATTGGTGTGGCACATCGGTGGTAGTTTCCCAGACTCAAACAGATCTTTGCTTCTTTTGCTGTTTGAACAAGTCCCTAAATCCGTACCCTACTATCGAGGGCAGTGTGCCTACTCCAGGAGAGCGTCTACTTCCCCTCCCCCCCACTCCGCTTCACCTGAACGCCCATCCCCCAAGCAGCTCCACCACTCTTCGCCTTCAACACTCCTGCAAGTCAGCTCAGCTTCACCATGCAACATGTGCCTGGTCAAATCGTCTACTTTCTCCTCCCTCCACTCCCCACTTAGCTTCATAGCGCAACAGGTGCGTAACACAGTGTCTGTCTACTTCCCCTTCCCCCCACTCCTCTTTGCCTGCACGCCCATCCCTCCCAGCAGCTCCACCACTCGCTCTGCCATGTCCCCCTGCCAGCACAGCATGAGAGCACAAGGGAGGGATGGGGACAAGGACGGGAGGGAGGGAGCGAGAAAGGGGGGGTTGTGGAGGTAAGGAGATTGTAGGTAACTTAGGAAATCTAGCTAAGAGCACACTGCTGCCCTGTTCACGCTGCTGCCCTGTTCACACTGCTGCCCTGTTCACGCTGCTGCTCTGTTCACACTGCTGCCCTGTTCACGCTGCTGCCCTGTTCACACTGCTGCACTGTTCACCCTGCTGCCCTGTTCACCCTGCTGCCCTGTTCACGCTGCTGCCCTGTTCACGCTGCTGCCCTGTTCACGCTGCTGCCCTGTTCACACTGCTGCCCTGTTCACCCTGCTGCCCTGTTCACGCTGCTGCCCTGTTCACGCTGCTGCCCTGTCCACACTGCTGCCCTGTCCACACTGCTGCCCTGTCCACACTGCTGCCCTGTTCACACTGCTGCCCTGTTCACCCTGCTTCCCTGTTCACACTGCTGCCCTGTTCACCCTGCTGCCCTGTTCGCACTGCTGCCCTGTTCACACTGCTGCCCTGTCCACACTGCTGCCCTGTCCACACGGCTGCCCTGTCCACACTGCTGCCCTGTTCACCCTGGCGGTCGGTAGGAGCACAGTGAGAAGAGCAGTTTCTTGTGGCCAAGGGCTGGTGAGCCCTGTGATCAATGCTAGTAACTGCGGTTACTGCAGGTTTGTGTGGTCAACGCAGGTCAATGCAGGTCAATGCAGGTCAATGCAGCTCAATGGGGCCAATGTGGCTCAATGTAGCTCCACCATGCGCCATGACCCATGCACCATGCTGCATGCATTATGCAACATGTGCCATGACCCATGCACCATGCTTCATGCATTATGCAACATGCGCCATGACCCATGCACCACGCTGCATGCATTATGCAACATGCGCCATGACCCATGCACCATGCATTATGCACCATGTGTCAAGACCATGCGACAAACCCATGCAATGATTGAGTACCCTCGGGGATGAATGTGGATGGAAGCAGGGGATAAACGCCACTGCTGAAGCCAGCAGTTCACAATCATACTCCATTTCAGTGAGGGAGATGCAAGGGGAGGAAGGGGTGACAGGATTTAAGGAAGAGAGTGCCAAGGAGAGGAGAGGATTAAAAATCCTTTAAAACATGGTCATGGGATAAGAAGCAAAAGACGTTGGCTCATATTGGTCTCCGTTCCTCGTCAGCCTGACATGCCCGCCAGGGACTAACTTCTTCAGAGGACAACGGGTTGTGGATCATCCACTCCGTCAGAGAATGCATATCATCGCCAGCGAGATTCGAACCCTGACCAACAACTTGGGATCAGGTCCTGTCAAAAGTCTGAGAAAACGGTATATATAGCATGCAACGCGGTCCAGCAAGTCATCAACTAAGGTTGATTGCGAAGTATTCCAAGTTTCAAGAAACGTGGCTGGAAGGAGCAGAAAGGAAAGAGAATAATGACAAGGACTCACAAGGCAGTAGTGCGTACTCCAGCCTTCTTGGACTTCACTTCATAGCTCCAGATTCTTACCTCTGGATTATCTCAAAAGCTTTAGGTTCTTGCACTGCACGGCATCTGTGAGCATGCTCCAATAATTCTCAATACATTCTATTTCGTCCATTCTTGTTTACCACTCAAAGCCGTACCCCAGTCGCTTTCTGTGGCTGCCATAAACGCCAGCTTAATCTGCCCAGCCCAGCCACACACTCTCTCCGTCACCCTCACCCTCACTACCCTCCCTCAATCTCTCCCTCAATCTCTCCCTCACTCCCTCCCTCACTCTCTCCCTCACTCTCTCCCTCACTCTCTCCCTCTCTCTCTCTCTCTCTCTCTCTCACTCTCTCCCTCACTCCCTCAGTGCCTCCTTCACTCCCTCTGTCACCAGAACTTCCAAGCACTGGTCCTTCATGGCCCCTCAACTTCCCTTCCCTCACTCCCTCTCCCACTCCCTTCCCTCACTCCCTCTCGCGCTCCCTTTCTCTCACTCCCTTCCTTAACTCCCTCTCTCACCTCACTCCCTTCCTTCAATCCCTCTCTCACTCCCTTCCTTCAATCCCTCTCTCACTCCCTTCCCTCGCTCCCCCCCACACCTGTTCAAGTCATCCGTCTTCCACTGCCCCGTTACTCCCTCCAATTACTCCCTCACTTCCGCCCTCCCTCACTCTCTCCTTCACCTCGATCCCTCACTCCCTCACTGTCCCCCTCACCTGCAGTTCAAGGCATCCGTCTTTCACGGCGCCGCCACTCCCGAGAGCCACTTTCAGCTTCTTCAGCAGCGCTGCCACCTCTGCATCGCCGCCGGCCAATCGCAGCCCCTCCACCACCGTCACCGTTTTCCCGCCACGTCCGCGCCGCGTCGCCTGCACCGTTACTCCCCCGCCCTTCGCCGGAGCCGCGCTCTTTCCTCCTTGATGGCTTCCGCTTTTTCCGGAAGGTGCGCTTCGGCTCGGCGCGCTTCCTCGCTTAGCGCTTCCACCACCCGCAGTTCGTGTTTCTCTGTCTGTTCTTCCGCTAGATTCACTCTTGCGAATTATCACAAAATCATCAGCGTTCCCTGTAGTCCGCACCGAACCGCCAATATCTGAATCGCTATCATCGCGACCGTTCAATGGTTCTGCCGCGTTGCTTCCAAGCGGAAAGCTTCGCTTCAGGTCGGCGAAAGGGTTGCCGCCTTGCGACGTTGACGAACTTTGCGAAGAACGACCAGCAAATGCGGTAATTATAAGGTTGCAGGAAGAAGAGCTTGCGGAGGACAATCCGACTGACGGCGAAGCTGCCGGACGGAGGCCGGCACGCTCTCCGCAAATGGCGGAAGAAGCTGCAAAGCTGGAGGCCAGCGAAAGTGTAGCCATGTTGTTGAGTCTTCGCTGAGCAGAAACAGAGTGGTTTTGGGAGGCATTGTACGCCATAGTGGACTATATGCTTTTAGACATAACGTTTTACATGTACAATCCTCTTCAGGTCTCAATATGGACATTCCTTTCCGGAAAGGCCTATTCGTTGCGTACTGGTGTTCGGGAATCCCCGCTCTGCTGTCCACGTCTTAGTGGTTCTGATACACGTCCCCATCCGCTTTCATCACCATCCGTTGCATCTTCGCTTCGTTACAACCTTTCGGGGCCATTTTCAGGTGCGATCCACACTTGCCGGGAAAGCTACTCATGTGCGATCCATGTTATTTTGCAAGTACGAACACCCGAGTCAGTTTTCAATTTTTCCGTATAAAAACTCATTTATCCGAGATCCGATTCAAAATTACACAAACAGTCGGAATCAGGATTGATTACGAATCACGCTAAGAAAAATTCGAATGGTCACATCATTT